CTCAGAAAGCAGAGGCAGGTGGATCTCTGTGAGTTCGAGGCCAGCCTGGTATACAATACAGACTGAATTCCAGGACAGCCAGGGCTACGCAGAAAAATCCTGTCTCAACCAAAACCAAAACCAAATAGCAACAACAAAAATATCCCCCTTCCCTTCTCTCTTCCTTCCTCCTTGTCTCTCTTTAGAGACTCACTTCATCTGGGAGTGTTTGCAGTTTCTACATTATTTACTAAATGTGTTTAGTGTAATTTGGTTTGGAATTCAAATAACCTGCTTTAATGACCGTGTTTCATATGTAGAACATGTAATTTAGTCTTCGCTACAAACATCAGTCTAAGATCAAAGGAGTCAGGATTCACCCTCACAGAACACACTTTGAGCAGCTGCAAGACTTACAGGATCCCCTAGCAACAGTTGTTGGTGTTTATTGGTTAGAGGTCTGGGAAAGGTTGAGGAACCAAGAACCCTGGAGCACTTGGAAAGCCATCTGGGCTTGTGCACAAGAGCCATCCACAGTTTAGAAGGTGATTAGATGAGTTGATGAGACCCTTTCTCTTTCTGTTTTCTAGATTTGGTGGCAGCGGTGAGAACTTTTTAAATTGATAAGTGTGATTCCAGAGGTGCTTGTCCCAGTTCGTGGCCCTCCAGGGTCTAGGTCACAGGGAATGGAATCTAACATTTGGAACTGTGTGAGCTTAGGCAACTTTCCTCACCCTGAGTCTCCCTGACTCATCTTCCAGATGGAAACCAGCAAACAAGCACCCTTCTCCACGGCCTCATTAGAATCAGAATGCCGGGGTGCTTACCTCGAATGTGTTAGACTTCCTTATGAATAGTGAGTCAGACACATCTTTAATGCTATCACTGGGAGGCAGAGGCAGGCGGATCTCTGAAGTCCAGCCTGGTTTACAGAGCAACTTCCAGGACAGCCAGGGTTACACAGAGAGACCCTGTCTTGGAAGGAAAAAAAAAAAAAAAAAGGTTCATCTGGCTTTTGTTTTGAGACTGAGTGTTATTTGTAGACCTGGCTGGCCTGGAGTTCTCTATGTAGAGCAGGCTGTCCTCAGGTTCACCTGCCTCTGCCACTGGCTGAGGTTACAGGCATGTACCACTCATGGCTGTTTTGTTTTTGTTTATTAATATTTTTAAATTTACGTTTATTCATTTTGGTTTTTCGAGACAGGGTTTCTCTGTGGTTTTGGAACTAGCTCTTGTAGACCAGGCTGGTCTGTAACTCACAAGCGCTGGGATTAAAGGCATGTACCACCAACGCCCGGCTTACATTTATTTATTTATGTATGCATAGGAATGCATGTGTGTACACTTGCACATGCTATAGTGCACATGTGGAGGTCAGAGGTCAACTTGACAGGCTCAGTTCTCTCCTTCCACCGTGCAGGTCCCAGGCTTTGAACTCAGTTCATTCATGTTGGTAGCAAATCTCTTACCCACTGAGCGGTCTCCCCAGTCCTGGTCTGGGTTCTGGTTCAGATCTTTCCCTTAGTCTATTTGTATTTTTAGTGAGACCTGGAGAAGAAATGCCCCTGGGCTTTAGTTTTTCAGGCTATGAGTGTTACAGATGACAGGTTTGCTCAAATATTCTGTGGCTTGGTCTCTCCAGAGGCATCCTCATGACCCAGAGCAAAGAAGTCAGTGGTCTACCCCCAGCTTTAGCTGTAGGCTATAGTAGGGGTTTAAGGATGGAGGGTACCTGGAGGATCACCTAGAGCCAGTGGGAAACTACTATTGTCGATTGATGATAGCCGTAAAGGTCACTGAAGATACAAAATTGGTAAAATGGTGTCTGTGCCTTGTATTTATAATGGTCCAAAGGAGCGACTGTCTAATAGTGAAATTTAATCTACAGCTCCCAGGGCCTTAGGGCTAGTAGTTCTGCCCTTTTGCTGGGTTGCCACGGTAACCACAGCTGGCACTGCAGAGCCTCGGGGATGAAGAATGGGTTCTATTGATAGATCCTGACCCAAGAAGAGGTGCAGGCAGAAGTCCTTTCTAGGCAGGGCATCTGGGCATGACCTGGTGCTGCCGTCTGTGGTCTTTTGCACAGGCAGGAAGCTCAGGCCAAGAGCCAGAGTTGTGTGTGTGTGTGTGTGTGTGTGTGTGTGTGTGTGTGTGTGTGTGTGTGTGTGTTGGGTGAGGGGCACAAAGGACATAGCCAGTGGTTGGAATTTAGGCCTTTTCTTGGGCTGGACATGCCAGGCTGCCGGAAGGACTCCCCTGGGCTTCCCAAGTTTAGACATATCTCTTTTGTACTGGGTTTCATCCATCTTAGCCCAGTGCATATTTAGGTTTTTGCACAGAAGCACTGACTCTTAGTGTCAAAAGAAATCTAGATGGCCACCAGTTCTTAAGTTTCATTTATAGATTCATTTCAGCCAGCGTACCCGAGAGTGAGTGTGCGCATGCACACTCGTGAGAGTGCACATATCTAGGCACAAGTGTGGAAGTCAGAGGACCACTCTGGGAAGTCAGTTCTCTCCTGTCACCTTTCGGAAGGAGCCCCGGGATCTAACTCAGGTCATCAGGCCTGGGCACAGGCACCTTTACCTGCTGAGCCGTTTTGCCAGCCCTTGCTCATTCATCAGTTCTGATTTAGGATCCAGGGCCTCAGTCTCCTTAGCATTGAAGCCCTTGAATATGTCAAGTGGTAGAGAGTTCATTTGCTTGGGAGGAAACTCTTCCTCATTTGGAAACGTCCTGTTTCGCTGAAGTCTATGTCTCCATGACTTCCACCTCCCTGTTCCAGAATCTGCTCCCCGGTACTCGAGACCCCTCTATTCTTTTCTCTGCAGAATAGGCTTGGGGGTGTTAGGAATTGGGGAACAAAGCTACCAGCTCTGCTTTTTTAAATTAATTTTTTAAATTTTATATACATTGATGTTTCACCTGCATGTAAATGAGGGTGTTGGACCCCCTGGAACTGGAGTTACAGACAGTTGTGAGCTGCCATGTGGGTGCTGGGAATTGAACCTGTGTCCTTTGGAAGAGCAGCCACTGCTCTTAACCACTGAACCATCTCTCCAGCCCCAACTTTGCTTTCTTTAGCCAGGTACTCCTCTACTTTCAAGGAGATGGTAGGAAGGCTGGTGGAGATGGTGGAGTTGGGATTGAGGTTCAGAGGTGGTTTTGGTCCATGAGTCAAAGCCGTGCCCCTGACTCTTGTGGGTCAGCTTGATGTGGGCATTTGGATTGTGTGGACTTGGCCCATCCTGGGTTAAGTTCTGACTCTGCCCCTGTTTATAACTGTGTGGTCTGACATCTTCCTTCTGCATCACCTGTAAAGTGGTCTCGGTGACATCCACCTACCTCTGTGTGTGTGACCAGGAGCATGAGGTCGGCTGGGCACCAAGTGTGCTTGGGGACCTGTGTGACAGGTCCTGGAGGCTAGAGCCTCAGCTCTTGATTTACTACTGTCATTAAGGGTTCTGGAAACCCCTCTGCCTTTCTTCAAACACCTGCCCTTCCCAGGCTGCTCTCAGAACCCTCCCCCCCCACACTTTTCTTTTTCTATATTTTGTTTTTCTAGACAGGGTTTCTCTGTGTAACCCTGGCTGTCCTGGAACTTGCTCTGCAGACCAGGCTGACCTCCAATTCAGAGAGATCTGTCTGCCTCTCTCTGTCAAGTGCTGGGATTAAAGGTACATGTCCCCATGTCCAGCCCAAGATGTTATTTTGTTCTTACTTATGTATATATGGATGGGTATGCATCTACCACCTTGTGTGTGGGTACCTGTGGAGGCCAGAAGAGGACATCAGATCCCCTGAAGGTGGAGTTAGAGCAGGCTGTGAGTCCCCTAATATGGATGCTGAGAGTTGAACTTGGATACTCTATGAGAGCACTGTGTACTCTTAACTACTGAGCCATCTCTCCAGGTCCCAGATAGGACTAATTTGATCCATGCTGAGGAATAATAGGAGAATATTCAGTCTCTGTTTCCTGTAATCAGACCATTGTTTCTATAAGAGCAGAAAGCTTCGTATATATAGCAAAACCCCTGCAGTTCCTAAGATACAAGGGTCTCGAGTGTGCACCAAGGTGTTTCCGGCTGCACTTGCTGATACGGTGTAGTGAAATGGAACACAGTGTAAGAGGTTTATGTTGTGTGTTCAGAGTCAGGGTTGCAGGGAAGTTGCTTCATACAGTGTGGGTGAACTTGCCGGAAATATCTCAGATTCATTATGTGTTTGATTTTGAATTAATGTTTGGTCATCACATCTTTAGAAACATTTTACTATTGCCAAATCATTTGCGATCCTCACATTCAGTTATGTGACCCATAGGTTAAGAAGCCTTGGTGGGGGCTGGAGAGATGGCTCAGAGATTAAAAGCACTGGCTGCTCTTCCAGAGGTCTGAATTCAATTCCCAGCAACCACATAGTGGTTCACAACCATCTGTAATGAGATCTGGTGCCCTCTTCTCGGGTGAAGGCATACATGCAGATAGAACACTATACCTGATAGACTAAAAAGGAGGGGGTGCTGGGCAGTGGTGGAGCACACCTTTAATCCCCAACATTTAGGAGGCAGAGGCAGGCAGATCTCTGTGAATTCGAGGCCAGCCTGGTCTACAAATTGAATTCCAGGACAACTAGGATCCTGTCTCCAAAAATCACAAACAAACAAATAAACAAAGCTTTGGTTAGATTGAACCAAAGTTCTAACCCTAGCCTGGTGTCATACATCTTTGAATCCCCAGGTTTATGTCATAGGCTCACTGGCACTAAGTTGAGTGAGGAAGTCTGTGGTCTTCCTGGAGTGGCTTGGTTATTTTGTGGCTTCTGTGTGGTAAGGCAGAAGAATGGTCAGGCAGAAGAGGGTGGCCAGCTTGTGCTTGGAAGGGTGAGTCCAGGGAGGAGTTCAAAGGACAGCAAGACTGCGCGCGCGCGCGCGTGTGTGTGTGTGTGTGTGTGTGTGTGTGTGTGTCCCTGAAGTCAAGGCCCTCTTACATGGCCCCACTGAACCTTGTACACTTTGCCTCTAGGTCCTGGAAGGAGACCAGGCTATCTTGCAGAGGATCAAGAAGGCTGTGCGGGCCATCCATAGCTCTGGCCTTGGTGAGCCTGCCTGGGGCCTGGGGCCTGGGGCTCAGCCAGGCCTACAGGCATTCTGAAAGCCTTTCCTTGTCTGCAGGCCATGTGGAGAATGAGGAACACTACCGAGAGGCTGTGGAGGCCTTGGGGAATAGTCACCTGTCCCAGAACAGCCATGAACTGTCCACTGGTTTCCTGAACTTGGCTGTGTTCACCCGTGAGGTGGCTGCACTCTTCAAGAACCTGGTGAGTCTCCTGCTACTTCTTCTCACCAGACTCAGGGCAATTCCACCATCTTTTTTTCTGGGAACTGAACCCAGGTCCTCTGCAAGAGCAGCCAGTGCCCTTAACCACTGAGCTACCTCTCCAGCCTGAATCCCACATCCATCTTCAGAATTGACCAGGCTGAGTCAGTTGTGCCTCTTGATCTGACCCCGACCTGAAATTTCTGTACCGTTCTGATGCATCTTTCCCCTTTTGTTTTGAGACTGGTCCCACTCTTGCCTCAGCCTTCTGAGTGCTGGGATCACAGATGTCCCCCCCACCCTGCCTCACTTTTCCCTGCACTGCTCTGTTCACCCAGGAGCAAAGGCAGTCCTGCAGCAGGGCAGGAAGAGGCCCATGCAGGGTGGAGCAGTCCAGGGAGGGCACTGACTTTAACACCCTGAGTCGTCCTCTGTCCCCTCATCTCTTCCTCCCCCTGCCTCTTGCTCTCCCTGCCTCTTCCTCCCCTTGCCTCTTCCACCCCCGTGGCTCTCCTTTTGACTCCTGGTACTTTCCTGGACCCTGAGTCCCTTGGGGCGGGGTCTTTGCTTTTTGCAGGTTCAGAACCTGAACAACATCGTCTCCTTCCCGCTGGAGAGTCTGATGAAGGGGCAGCTAAGGGACGGGCGGCATGTGAGTGTCTGTGTGGGAGAGAGGGGGCTGCTGAGGGTTCAGAGGACATGGCGCTGGGTGGAAGGAGAGGCCAAGAGAGGGGCTGTCACTGTAGGAGTGCTGCCTCAGATATACTGCCCTTGGGTCAGCTGGAGGGCCTGGCATCCAGCCATGTGTACAGTTTGGCCTGTAGCTCACCCCTACTATCAGGCTAAAGAATAGGTGAGCCACACATGCTTCCCAGTGCTGGTGCATGGAAGGTTCAGGTGAAGGCCCCGGATCCCCAGTGCCCTGCTGCTGCTCCTCTGCACCTGGCAGCCCTGGATCCATCAGAGAGGCCCTGCAAATGGAGGGTGGCAGTGTCACCTCCCCGGGCAGTGTGCCCCACAAAGTATGGGGGAGGAACTGTCCTCATCTCAAAGTGACACCAGTCTGGGAGCCTCCCAAACCAGACGGGTGATTTTTTTTCTCAGAAGTTGAGGCTGTCTAGAAGGGTGTGGATAGCTGGGCTGGCTCGGGCTCAGGGATCTGGCCCAGGCTAGCCAGGCCAGTAGTCAGCTGTGTCTTACTCGTTTGCTGTGTGGTCTCAGGGAGTCTTTTCAACCAGTCTCTTCCTGGTGAGAGGGTGGCCTGGTATCCCGAAGAAGAAATTAGTGGGATAAAATAGGGGTGGTATGTGACCGCCATCTTCCTGCTCTCATCCTCCACGGCCCATGACAAGACTGAAAGCAGACCCCAGAGGTTGTCTACACGCCAGGCTAGAACCCACCACACCTGACTGCTTCTAGACAACTCTGGGGAGAAGCTAGGGTGGGCTGAGTCTCAGGAAGGGAGTTGGTTGGGTGTTAGTGGGTGTCAGCTGGAGAACCGCCCTGGACAACATAATTTACGAGTAGGGTCCCTCTAATGGTAGCAGAATGTACTGTTTATTCCAGGGCTCATGTTTTCCTTTGGGCAACTTGTTCTTTTCCCAACCCCAGGATTCAAAAAAGCACCTGGAGAAGGCATGGAAAGACTATGAAACCAAAATGTAAGTGACCTGGGAGGGTGGGCTTAAGGAGAGGGTGCTGTGTTGAACAAGGAGGCTGACTTTGGGATGTGTCACTCAGGGTCTCTGGCTCTTAGGCCAGGCCTGGCTGGCTGCCAGGGGCTCTGTTGCAAGACAACCCAAGGGAACTTGTGAAAAGATCATGGGATGCTGCCCCCAGTGACCCTTCCAGCCTTGTGGTACTCATGTGGACAGGGACATTGCATCCTCAAGATCACTCAATCCTGAGAGGACGAAAAAGACTGAGTCATAGCTCAGGGTCGCACAGCTGGGCAGCAGATGGTAGCTGCAAACATTGGGTTGGACATAGAAGGACAGAGGGAGGTGATGGCACACCCAGGCTTCCTGTTTGCTCCACACCATACTGCAGATCTGCCACCAACTACGGCCATTCCAGGGACAGAGGAGTCTGTGGTATCCAGTGGCCAACCCTTCCTAAGCAGACTCCTTGGGCTATCTCAGGTTCCTGTTTCAGAACCTGTATTCTTCCTTATAAAAATTTATTGGCTAAAGAAAATACATTTCGGGCTGGAGAGATGTCTCAGGGGTTAAGAGCACTGACTGTTCTTCCAGAGGTCCTGAGTTCATTTCTCACAACCATCTGTATTGAGATCTGTTGCCCTCTTCTGGCATGCACTGTATACATGATAAATAAATAAATCTTAAAAAAATAAAATAAAATACATTTCTTATGTATATATTTAGAAAAGATGATGAAGTTAAAAAAAAAGAGGGAAAGAGAGAGAAAAAATTTGCTCAGCATGGTGTTATACACCTAGAGTTCCAGATACTCAGGAGGCTAAAGAGGGAAGATTACTTGATCTGAGGAATTTCAGGCCAGCCTGGACAATATAGTGAGATCCTGTCCCCTTTCCAACATACACAGGAAAAAAAAAAGAAAAAAGTTTAATCATCTTTAGGAAAATATTAGGATCACTCTGTAGGGAGTCTGAAAGTTCTCTGTTAGTAGTAATTTTATTTTATTTTATTTTTTAGAAAAATATATAGCACTCTAACTTTATAATTTAAAAAACAAGGGGGGGCAGCTGAGGAGATGGCTCAGTAGTGTTCACCTTGCAAGCCCGAGGACCTGAGTTCAATCCCCAGCAACCACGTTACAGCAAACAAGCTGGCGGCTGACTCCCATAATTGCTGCAACATGTAAGTGGAGGCAGAAAGATGAGTTTTGAGGTCAGCTTCTGCTACATTGCTAGTTTAAGGCCAGCTTGGGATACGTGAAACCCTGTCTCAGAAAAATAAAAAATAAAAAACAAGGTGAAGTGGGGAGAAACCACCAAAGCATAGGTGAAAAATCTTTAATTCCCCAAAATAAGACATTTTTCTTCTATGTACAGTGAAATATATTGATGAGACTGAAATCAAAGTAACCATATTATGTAATCTTCTATTTTTATTAAAAAATATTCTGTGAGGGTGAGGCAGGAGGATTGCAAGTTTGAAGCCAGCCTGATACATAGAGAGACCCTGCCTCAAAAATGAAAACAATAGCTGGGCTTGGTGGCACACACTTTTAATCCCAGCACTTGGAAAGCAGAGGCAAGTGGATCTCTCTCAGTTGGAGGCCAGCCTGGTCTACAGAGCGAGTTCCAGGTTAGCCAGGGCTGCATGAGACCCTGTCTCAAAAGCAAGTAAACAAACAACAATCAGGGCTGGGAGTGTAGCTCAGTGTGGAGACAGTGCTTGCTTATTGCTCTCAAAGGCCTGGGCCCAATCCCCAGCATATTATAAATGGGTGTGTCAGTGACACAGACTTGTAAATCCAGTGCTCAGGAAGAGAAGGCAGGAGGGTGAGGAGTTCAAGGTTATCTGCCCCTTTATACAGAGTTTGAGGCTAGTCTGGGATGCATGAGACCCCTGTCTCCCCATCCTCCCAAAGAAGTCAAAATGTGACCCATCTTTCTGCATTAGTACATGTCTCCAGACAGCAGCAGCAAACTGGGGCAGGGTGTGCCGACAGGTACATTCTGTAATAGTTTAATCTTCCCTGTCATGGAGGAAGCATCTTGGGGACTAATATTTGCTCCTGTGGGTAATGACCGCTGTGGAACATGTTCCATACAATAGGTGCTGGAGCATTTATTGCCCCTCCGTCTCCTAGAGCCATGCACACCTGTCCAGGTCCAGATTGAAAGGTCAGCCCTCCTGCCCTTATAGCTGTGAGCACAGGGCCTAATCCTGCCTGGGATGGGGTGTGGCCATCTGCTCATTTTAGAGGTCCAAAAATGGGCAGTAGAGACCCAGGCTAGCCTTCTCTGTGTGAGCTGCAGAGGGAACCACCTGACTCTCCTTCCCTTAGCCTTGTAGAGCCAAGTCTACCAAAATGGACAGAATCACCTTTCCCCATAGATCTTGCTCAAGCAACTCTGCCTTTACTTTTTCTAGTAAACTTTTTCTAAGATTTCAGAGGGGTGGTGGCGTGTCATGTGCCTTTGATCCCAGCATTTGGGAGGCAGATCTCTATGAGCTTGAGGCCAGCCTGGTCCATATAACAAATTCCAGGGTAGCCAGGGTTACATAGTGAGACGCTGGTTCAGAAAAACAAAACAAAACAAGCAAAAATTTGTTTAAAGCGAATACTATTCCATTAACAAGACATGGGCTGCCTAGGGTTAGTGATACACTGTTGATGTGGTCCTCACCAGGGCTGCATATGAGCGGCACGGCGTGCTACAGGTGACTGTGCTTCCCTGTGTTTGGGGGCTCCAGGTGTTGCCAGATGTCAGGATGCTGGAAGGCACTGCATGGTTCGACCACATGCAAGCCAGTCCAGGCAATTCTGAGACGACCCAGGCTGCCAACACCATCTGAATACCCCTGGAGCACATGGAAAGAGGGCACTTTCTCTACCTTGGGCTTCTGGCATGCCAAGTCCCGTGCTGCCTGAGGACCATGTTTTATCAGGCTGGTCCATAGGCAGATCTGTTTCCTCATCTGTAAAACGGCACAGTTTTACAGTGTATTTAAAGTACCCGGCACGCTGGGTGTCGGTGGTGCACGCCTTTTATCCCAGCACTCAGGAGGCAGAGGCAGGCGGATCTCTGTGAGTTCGAGGCCAGCCTGGTCTCCAGAGCGAGTGCCAGGATAGGCTCCAAAGCTACACAGAGAAACCATGTCTCGAAACACCAAAAAGAAAAAAAGAAAAAAAGAAAGTACCCGGTACTGAGGCTGGAGAGATGGTTCAGTGGTTAAGAGCACTTGTTGCTCTTGCAGAGGACATGGGTTTGATTCCCAGCACCTAGAGGGTGGCTCACAACCATCTGTAACAACCATCCTTAGATAGATCTGGGTTCAAATCCCACCTCTGCCACTTAATAGCTGAGAGACTTGGACAAGCCTTAAGCTTCTCATCTATACAATGGGAGAATGACTTCTGCTTCATGGGCTTATCACTTTAGTGTGTGAAGCCCTGATATAAAATTAGTGCTTAAAAATAATAGGTTGGGGACGTAGCTCAGTTGATACAGTGATTGCCTAGCACACACAAAGACCTGGGCTTGCTCCCTGGGACTATATAAAACCTGATGTGATGCATACCTACAACTTTCAGCATTTGGGAGGTGGATGCTGGAAGGTCAGAAGGTCAAGATGATCTTCTGATTCATATAGCGAGGCCAGGTTGGGCTACGTAAGACCCCATCTCTGAGAAGAGTAAATTAGCAAGAATCACACTTAATGCTTAAGAAGAACTTGCTTAGTGCCAGGAGCTGGGAGAACTTCTGACACCATTGCCAGGTTTGTTCCCCCAGCAGAAGTCACTACTATCACCCTCAATCCATAGATAGTAAATAAGTAAGTAAACCAATCCCATACCCAGGGGCCCTACCTTATTGGATCTTGCTGGTTTATACGACAAGAAGAGAAGTGACTCCTAAATACCAGAAACATGAAGTGGCCATGCCATGGTCGCAATCCACACAGAGGGCAGAATGTGCAGTCAGAATGTTGGATTTGATGGAGCAGAGAGCAGTGGGCGGGGTTTGCAGGAGGCTTGGCATTGCTGCCTAGCTCAAAGCATTAAAGTCGGCAGGTGCGCGATGTGCCTTGAGTCTTCTTTTCTCTCTCCCTCCCCATTACACCCGATACCTGTCTGTACCTCTCAGAGTCACATCGTTGTATGTCCATCGTTATCGGCCTCTCCCCACCCCCGCCCTTATCTCTCTCTTCTGCTTGGTCAGTCTCCTACTTGCCTGTCATCTGGGGATAGAAAGCCACCCCATTTTGTAGATTTGAAGACTGAGGCTCAAAGAGGGAAAGCTGTGCAACTCATTAGCTGCAGAGCTGGGATTAGCCCCACCCCATGTGCCTGCTCTGCTCTGCTCTGCTCTGCTGGCATTCCCTGGGACGCAGAACTGTTAAATAAGTGTATCCTGTACGTGAGAAACAATCCACAAATGGATCCACTGTTGCTAAAGAAGAGAAGCAGTTACCCCTGGAGATCCGTTGGGGTGCAGGGGAGAGGCCCTAGTTATCTCATTTTTTAAATATTTTATTTATTTATTATGTATATAACATTCTGCTTCCATGTATATCTGCACACCAGAAGAGGGCACCAGATCTCCTAATGGATGGTTGTGAGCACCATGTGGTTGCTGGGAATTGGACTCAGGACCTCTGGAAGAGCAATCAATGCTCCTAACCTCTGAACCATCTCTCCAGCCCCCTATTTCATTCTTTATTAGGGGAGGTGTAGGGACTGAACCAGGGATTCATGCATGTCAGGCTAGCTCTCTGCCCTGGAGCTGCAGTCCCAGCCTGGGTACCACAGGCTTTTAGAACTTTGAAAAGCTCTGTGTGCTCATGAAGGCTCTGTGGTCATCTATCCCACACACCTCTAAGTCCCTTCTAGCTAATCAGAAGTAGTCATCCTTGGTCCCACCCCGTCTTCATCACTGGCATAAAACCTTCAAACCCTTCCTCTTGCTGTAACTTATAGACTTGGACGTTTAGCTGGTGGGAGCCAGGCCCACTGTGGTCCTCGCCATTGCCATTGCCTCAGGCAGTTTCCCAGCCCTGTCCATCTCTGCCATCCACCTCAAAGTTTACCACTGTCTAACTGCCCAGGCATAGCTTCCTCCAAGCTCATGTCTCAGGCTTCTAGTCCCAACACAGACACGGCTTCCCTAGCTGCTGTGAGGAGGCCAGGTCTCTCTTTTACTCTCCCGAGTCTGCTTTGATTTGATTTGTGTCTTTCTCCTCCGTGACCCCCTGGACTCTCCAGACCTGCCCCGCCCCCTGCTGTTGCCAGTACCAGCACACAGGTGGCACAGGGAAGAGCTTTTGTTCCCACATTCATGGCTACAGCAGGAATGGTGGATGGGATAAGGGTTGCTGAGGCTTGTTCAGATGTCTCTTTCTTTATGACCTAGGGCCAAGCTGGAGAAGGAGAGGGATCGGGCTAGAGTCACAGGCGGAGGCCACGGGGAGATGTTGCAGGACACACAGCGTGAGCGGCGAGTCTTCCAGCTGCACATGTGTGAGGTGAGGTGGGACTCCCAGTGAGGATGGGCTATGTGTGTTTCCTGTTCACCTCTTCCAGACCCTCAAGGCTCCAGTCACGGGCCCTAGGGCTGGCCAGCTGGCCTGTAGGATGTAACCAAGGTTCAGTCATGGCTAAGGGAATTAGCCCTGGGGTGGGGAACAAAACCCCCATCACCGGGTTCCGGCTCACATCACACTGCTTGTCCCATCTTCTAGTATCTTGTCAAAGCTGGAGAGAGTCAGGTGAAGCAAGGTCCAGACTTCCTTCAGAGCCTCATCAAGTTCTTCCATGCCCAGCACAAGTAAGTATCTCCCTGCCTCCACCTTTAATGGGTTGTGGGGGACAGGACCAAGCACCCCTCCGGGGTTTGAGACCCTCCAGGTCTCTACCTCTGGACCTCATGAACAACGCTTTTATTGCACAGATGTACAAAGTACTCACCATGGTTCAGGCACTAAGGATTGGGCATGGTGATCCCACCAATCCCTCAACACCCCCAGAGCAGATACAGCCTTTATCCATATTTTATAGATGGGGGAACTGAGGCCCAGTTATCAAGTTCTCAAGATTAGTCAGTGAGATCTGAACCCACAGAGTCTCACCTCTGTACACCTGCTCTCATCCCCAGGCTGCGTGCCCAAGGGTGCCCTATAGGGATCTTCTCCAACTTCTGCCTCATCCACATTTCCATCCCTCCCTGGTCCCCTTGTTTGGCCTCTGGCCTTTCTTAGCTTCTTCCAAGATGGCTGGAAAGCAGCTCAGAGCCTGTCCCCCTTCATCGACAAGCTGGCAGCCTCAGTCCATGGGGTAAGTCTGGCCTGTCCCTTTCGGGAAGCTGTGAGTGTGGAGTGCTGGCTCCCGTCATAGAATGAGACACTGCCCCAGTGGGCTGCATCAGGCTCTGCCCTGACCAGCCATGGATCCTGCTCTGCCCATAGCTTCGGCAAGCTCAGGAGGAAGAGCTGCAGAAGCTGACCCAGCTCCGGGACTCCCTCCGAGGGATGCTGCATTTGGAGAGTAGAGAGGTCAGGCCCTGAGTCATTCTAAAAGAGATGTCTAACCTACCCACCCGCACCCTGGCATAGGGGAGCAGGGGAGGGAGAGAAGCTCCCAAACACCCCCCGAGGAGCAGTGCAGCACGGGGCTCTTCCCTCCCAGACACCCTGAAGTCTCCTTTGCATGTCTGAGGGGCAGGAGCACCCAAACAGGAAGAACTCAGGGGGCGGCTACAGCATCCACCAGCACCAAGGCAACAAGCAGTTCGGGACTGAGAAAGTGGGCTTCCTGTACAAGAAAAGCGATGGGTGAGTGATGCAAAGAGCTCAGGCAACTTGCCCAAAGACACACAGCCAGGACATGAAGGATAGAGAAGATGCCCCAATGACTGCCCTTATATTCCCATGGACCATTTTGCACAGTCTGATGGTGTACAGTTATCAAAGGACAACTGGGCATGTGGCTCTTTGCTAAAGGCTATTCTTCAAGAATTGCAGCAACAGAGCCATCCATGGCCCATGCCTTTAATCCCAGCGTTTGGGAGGCTGAGGCAGGAGATAGCCATGAGTTTGATATCTAGCAGCAGTTAAGACTTACCAAGCTCGCCAGGCGTTGGTGGCGCACACCTTTAATCCCAACATTCAGGAGGCAGAGGCAGGCGGATCTCTGTGAGTTCGAGGCCAGCCTAGCCTCCAGAGAGCATGCCAGGACAGGCTCCAAAGCTACACAGAGAAACCCTGTCTCAAAAAACCAAACCAAACCAAAAAAAAAAAAAAAAAAAGACTTACCAAGCTCTTAATATGCCTTCATCCTTGCCGTCTATATAGTACACTGTGTATGCCTAGAAATGAGAGCATCAGCTACGCCTTGGTTTCTGGCATTAACTTTTCATTTTAGAAAGGGGCCAGTGAGATGGCTTAGAGCAACGGTTCTCAAGCTGTGGGTCACGACCCCTTTGGGGAGTGGTTTTCAGCCTTCCTAACGGTGCTGCCCCTTAATACGGCTCCTCATGCTGTGGTGACCCCAACCATAAAATTATTTTCATTGCCATTTCATAACTGTAACTTTGCTATTATTATGAGTTGTACTGTAAATAGCTGATATGCAGATGGTCTTAGGCTAACCCTTGAAAGGGTCATTCAAGTCCCAAAGAGTTTCGACCCACAGGTTGAGAACTGCTGCCTTTCAGGGTCACCTAAGACCATCAGAAAACACAGACATTTACATTACTATTCATAACAATAGCAAAAACAAACAAACAAACAAACAAAAAAACCCAAACCAGCTTTGAAGAGCTATGTTAACGGGTTGCAGCATTAGGAAGGTTGGGAGCCACTGGCTTAGAGGTAAGGGTGCTTACTGTCATGCTTGACCACCTAAACTCAATGCCTAGAACCCATGTGGTAGAAAGAGAATTGACTGTCTTAGTTACTTATCTATTGCTGGGGAGAGACACCATGACCAAGGCAACTTATGGAAGAAAGAACTAATAGGGCGTTTTCAGTGCCAGAGGGTGAGGCCATGGCCATCATGGCAGCAGGCATCACATCTCACCAAGACGCACAGGGCACAAAAAGAGCATACAGGGAACGGCAAGGGTTTCAGAAACCTCAAAGCTTACCACCCCCCACATCCACAGTGACACATCCATCTCCTCCAATAAGGCCACATCTCCCGATCCTTCCCAAACAGTTCCACTAACCTGGAACCAAGTATTCAAACATGGGCTTATGTGGACTGTTCTCACTCAAACCACCACACGGATTCCCTCAGGTTGTGTGCTTTGTCATGCTCACACACAAAACAAGTAAGGTCATAAGTTGTGTTTCTTCCATCAGGCTAGAAGCTCTCAGGGTACCAGAGTTATACCAACCCTCTAGAATAGGAATTCCAAAGCCTGAGGCCTTCCCACCTCATACCAGGAGCTTCTTGAGGGCCAAGAGTGGTGAAGACAGTGAGTGGGAAGGAAGAGGTCTGCCCTGCTCTCTGATGCAGAGGAATTAGATATGAGCCACTGGTCACTTTTTCTGTCCTTCTGGGCTTTAGGATTCGAAGAGTCTGGCAGAAGAGGAAGTGTGGAGTCAAGCATGGCTGCCTGACCATCTCACACAGCATGGTGAGGCCTCTGAGGAGTTCTGAGCAGACAGCTGCCAAGCTCTTAGATCCAGTGTTAGAGATTCCTGCTAGGAGGAAGGATGGTACCCAAAGGTCCTACTTAGGATCCACATCACCACCCCTGGAGGCACAGGACTATCATGATTGTTAAATAGACAAGGGGGGCTAGAGAGATGGCTCAGAGGTTAAGGGTACTGGCTGCTCTTACAGAGGCCTTGAGTTCAATTCCCAGCAACCACACGGTGACTCACAATCATCTGGTGCCCTCTTCCCTCTTCTGATGTATAGGCAAATGTGCAAGTAGAACATTGTATATATAATAAATAAATAAAATATTTAAAAAGAATATTTATTTAAAAAACAAATAAATAGACAAGGAGACAAGGTACTCAGAGGCCCAGAGGGTAACATGTGTGTCCTCCACCTTCAAATTCCCACAGGTCAACCGGCCCCCGGTGAAGCTGACCCTGCTGACTTGCCAAGTGAGGCCAAACCCCGAGGAGAAAACATGCTTCGACCTGGTGACCCGTGAGTAGTCTACATAAGCCCCACACTTCTCAGTGTCCTCCTGAGGGGCTGCATTCAGGGATCTGTATTCAGTCCCACTAAATAGCTAAAGGCTACCACTGCTTTGGTGCCAGGCTTTAAGGAAGGTAAGAGCAGGCTGGGAAGGAGCTGGCCCTTCAGGCCAGGAATGTAGCTCACTCTGCCTAGCACACATTGAGCTCTGGGTTCTGTGCTGAGAACCACATGAAACTAGGCATGGTGGTGTACACCTGTAATCACAGCATGGGGATCAGAAGTTCAAGGTCATCCTCAGCTACAAGGGGAGTTTAGGCTAGCCTGGGCTACATGAGACCCTGTGTCATTTTTCTTTAAAGGCTCAATCTTCAGGAAACCCTCTTGGAAGGAATGAGGAGGGGGCCCAGGTCTCTAGGATGGTGGGTGAGGTGTCCAGAGGAGAGAGGCACATATAGAGACCCTTGGAGGACCTGACCTGCTGTAGGAAATTAAGGGTTGTTTGAGGAGAACATTCGAGTTTAGCCTTGAGAGACAGAGATCGTAGCATTTAAGAGCAGAGTTTAGCAGGGCGGGAGGCATGAAAGCAGAATGCAGACTCCCCCGTTGCTCTTACCAGGGACTTCACGTAGGAGCAGTGAGGCAAGCCCTGGAGCTGCCCCTCGTAGGTCTGGACCTTGTTCCCCAATAGTTGGGACCCATGGAGGTCTGGAAGCAGGGTGCTGTATGGTTCAAGCCATGGATACAGCAGTTAGGGATTTGGTAGGGCTGGGTGAAGGGGGAGTGGTAGGACAGAGGGAAACCAGAGTGGGGTGGCGGCTGGAGGTCAGGGTCATGCTGCACTTGAGCTGGGTGGAGGGGGTGTGCTACGCGCTGACCCTGGATCCAAGGCCTCATACAGAGAGCCTTGCTGGGGACCTACTTTGGAGATGATGTCTGAAGGTGGTGACACTTCGGAGGGCCCGATCTCAGGGGCACATAGGTGTTTGTCCTGGGGAAGGCCTGCAGGATCTGTGTGCTTCATGCCCTTTCCTCTCACCCACAGACAACCGTACATACCACTTCCACGCAGAGGACGAGCTGGAGTGTGAGGCGTGAGTGCCGGCTCTGGGCCAGCAGTGGTGGGGGCAGTGCATGGGGCAGGGAGCTTGGGTCCACACCTGGTCTCCTGTCCCCAACCCTCCTATTCCACCTGCACAGATGGGTATCTGTGCTGCAGAACAGCAAGGACGAAGCACTGAGTAGCGCCTTTAATGGGGAGCCCAGTGGCGGCCAGTGGTCTTGGGGTGGCACCCCAAGGTTGGATGCGGAGCCCCAGGACCTCACCAAGATGCTCATTGCCGAGGTGAAGAGTAGGCCGGGGAATGGCCATTGTTGCGACTGTGGGGCTGCAGGTGAGTGGTGGGGAAGGTTTGGTGGGAGGTGTGGAGAAGGGGCTCTGGGCTGTAGGCTTTAGCTGTGCTCCTCTGCAGATCCCACGTGGCTCAGCACCAACCTGGGTGTGCTCACCTGCATCCAGTGCTCGGGCGTCCACCGAGAGCTGGGTGTGCGTTTCTCCCGAATACAGTCTCTCACCTTGGACCTCCTGAGTCCCTCAGAGCTGCTGGTGAGAGCAGGGTCAGGGTTTGGAGAGAATGTTAGGAGTGTGGGGCTGGGCTTGGGAGACGAAGCTTGGCTAACTGGGAATGGATCCAAAGTAACCAGAGTGGTGTTGGTAGGGGCGGCACCTGGGGAACTGTGGAGAAGGGCTGGACTTTGAAGGCTGAACCTTGCCGGGGGCTCTGTCCTAACACCTGATTTTACCTGCTGACTCAACACTCACACTGCGCTGTGTCTCCAGCTGGCTCTGAACATGGGAAATTCCCGCTTCAATGAAGTCATGGAGGCCCATCTGCCCGCTCTCGGGAGCCCTAAACCCTGTGCTGAGAGTGACATGTAAGGACAGTCTCAGAAGGTGGGATGTGCTAGCTCCCCAGTTCCCAGGGTCTGAGAGGGATCTTGGGTCAGAAGGTTGGGTTGAACGGAGCCTGCTGACCTGGAAGTTACCAGGTCACCAGATTCTCCTAGAGGGTGGTTCCAGAAATTACTATGTGGAAAACCTTTTTGAGAACCCGTGATTGTTTATTGTCTTGGTAGGAGCAGCCGTAGGAACTACATTGTGGCCAAGTATGTGGAACACAGGTTTGCACGCCAGTCCACACCTGAGCCCCAGAAGCTGTGGACAGCTATCCGCAACAGGGACCTCCTGTCTGTACTGGAGGCCTTTGCCAATGGGCAGGACTTCGGACAGCTGCTGCCAGGGCCTGATGGGCAGGTGAGAGCCCCCTTCCGGGGCCACTTTTAACCCTTGCATACTCCTCAGACCTCCTCTAGCTGTCACAATCTTCTCCGTGTGCTCAAATCTCACACATTAAGTGGGACAGAAAATAACTCCAGCCAAGCAGACCTAGACCGGGATTCCCAAATCCCGGCTGTATCTTTTCTTAACTGTGTGACCCAGGGCAGTTACTGCACTTCTCTGAGTCCTATTTCCTTTGTCTATAACATGGGTCACCAATAGCCTTGGAAGTGGAAAGGGCAGGTTGGATTAGCGTGGAGAAAGCCGCTGCATTTTGGTGATATATCCATGAGGGAGGAAATATTTCAGGACGATCTCATCAGCAGAAGGGGCTGTGACTGATTGGACATTTAAAAACTGGATGTTATGAGACTGGAGAGACGTCTCAGCGGCTAAGAGCACTGGTTGCTCTTCCAGAGGACCCGGGTTCAATTCCCACGATTCACATGGTTGCTCACAACTGTCTGTAACTCCAGTTCCAGGGGATCCAGTGCCCTCTTCTGGCCTCTGTGGGCACTGTATGCATGTGGAACGCAGGCAAAATACTCATGCACGGGAAATTGGAAACAAGAGATGAAGGCAATCTTTTAAAACAAAACAACGGGGTGTCTCCGGCTGTGGGTGTAATCTGAGATGGAGCATAGTGAGTGTAGCCTGTGAGGGCCCGAGTCAGCCCCTAGCACGAGCTGAGGTGGGGCAAGATGTCACTGAACTTTATGTCTGAAATCATCACAGGCCACCCAGTGGACAGTGAGGGCATAGCACTTGGGTGAGGCGGCAAGTAGGACCACAGCACCTGGATAAGGTGGGCAGCATGGGCACACTAGAAAGTAAGAGGAAAGGAGAGGTCCAGCGTGATAAAGATTTGAGAACACCTTCTCCGAGGACCAAGGAGGGACCACTGAAGGAAACCATAAAGGGACTGCCTGGGCTTTCTCACGTATCCTTAATGTGAGGAGGGTCTGTGCACATTGTCTCAACTCTTGGGGTTTCTGACCTCTTCATAAGCAGAGATGCTGGGCCACAAGGGCTCAAGAGGGCAGAACTACGTTGAGGGCATGTGACTTGGGAAACTAAAGCATGTGTGTATATTCAGGCACCTGGAGAGCTTGCCCTGCACTTGGCCATCAGAGTCGCCAGCCGGGCTTCCCTGCCCCTAGTGGAGTTCCTTATCCAGAATGGGTGAGAGCCTGTCAGCCATCAGCAACCTCCCTGTGCCCCCACCCCCTCCTTGTCCCCCCCCTCTCTCCCTGGTATTTTGACCCCCCATTGCCTGCTTGTTTCCTTCCCTGAACCTCACTGCAACCCTCCCCTTTTAGTGGCCACTTGGATGCCAAGACGGTGGATGGAAACACCGCGCTGCACTGTGCTGCACTCCACGGCCAGCTGGACTGCCTCAAGCTGCTGCTGAAAGGGAGGGCTCCCGTGGGGGCAGGTGCGGCCTGTTGCCTCCTCCAGACTCTCTTTCTGACTGCCCCATGTGGGGCCTCCTGCCTTCACAGATCCCAGCACTGACAGCAGGCATACTCCTACTCCTGGCTTGCTTCTGAGCCCCTCTGTGGCCGGGCAGGGGTGGGGACTGTCATTCATTTCTAGAACCTCAGCTTTCCCACACAGAGCTAGTGAGCCTGCCAAAAGGTGTGGATGGAGCAAACTGGATCCTATCTGAATCTGGGTACACTAGTGATGTAACTGTTACCCTGCTTATTATGTAACATGTGTCTGGTCTCAGGACAAGTCTTCTGTACTGTTAATCAGTGGATCCTGGTCAGATAGTTTCAGGTGTCATTTTACAGAGGAGACAGTTAAAACCCAGGGAGGTTGAGTAGGTCAGTCACCTAAGGCCACACAGCTAGAAAGTCAGAGAGTCAGTTTTCATACCCAGACATTCCAATTCTAAGGCCCATACTAACTTCTAAGCTGCCTTGACTTTGACCATGGTCCCTGGATTGATTACCCTTCACAGTAAATGATGCTGGAGAGACAGCTCTGGACATTGCCAGGAAGAAACAACACAAGGGATGTGAAGAGCTGGTGAGTTTGAAGGCAGAGGCTGCCCTCTAACCCTTCCTCATCCCCACTGGCCCTTGTACATGGGGAGCCTTTGTTTTTGGCAGCTGGAGCAGGCACAGGCAGGCACCCTCACTTTCCCTCTCCACATGGACTACCCATGGGGACATTCCATGGAACATGGCTGTGACAGTGAGGAGGATGAGGAAGAAAAGGTAGGTACAGCCCTTCCCCTGTGGATGGCACCAGACAAGAGCCATGTTGGGCGTGCTGTGGGAAGGGGAAAGTTGAACTGTGGAAACCAAGATGGCCTTGTCCCCACAGTACTGTCCTGGGAAGCCCCCAGCTCGGGACTGCTGGGGCAATGGGAGGCTGGATATCAACAAGACCTATGAGACCATTATTGTCCCGGGACCAGCCACCTCTCAGAGCCACAAAGAGGACCGTCCCCCACCCCTGCCCGCCAAAAACTCTAGGACCACACTTCCAGGGCGAGCAGGACATTCCAGTGGAGGTATAGTTGGCTACCCACAAGTATTGTGATCATGCCATTTATTGAGAGACTGCTGTGTGAGGCATGGAGCTTCCAGTACATGTCAGAGTTAAGTGTGGTGGCTCATGCCTGTCATCCCAGCTCTGAGGAGATGGGGGCAGGAAGACCAGGAGTTCAAGACCCCACTCGGCTATATACTAAGTTTAAGGCCAGCTTGGGCTCCTTGAGACCCTGTGAAAACAACAACCAAGAGTGAATGACAGCAAGCCCATCCTGCCGTCAGAGTTCCATTAGGGTTGCCATCCTCTCCTTCAAGTAAAGGGAGAGATGTTAAGTGGCATGCTTAAGCTGCCACCATTTTTGAAGCTTCTGTTGTGAGATTCCAACCCGGGCTGGTCTTGCCCAGATTCTTTGGTGCTTCTCTTAGCCAAAAAGACAAGAGTTGGTGGAGTATGCCCTATGTGAGCCTAGTGAGGGGACGGAGACCGGGAAGCAGTCAGTCATAACACACTGTAGAATGCTAATCCTAGCAGCCCCAGGTTTAGTCCTCCGCAGAGAGCTCTTCCAGCACCGAGCAGAGCCTGGCTGTGCTCTTGGACTTAGGTGTTGAATGAATGGAGCTTGCCCTGGGAGGCCAGGGTAGGGTAGATCCTGCTGGAGTTAGCAGTGGGTTAGAAGGGCTCCCTGAAGGAGGTAGTGCCTAAATTGAGCTTGGAGGATGCGCAGGAACGCTCAGCTGGGGGTGGGTGGGTGGGCAGGAACAGCACATCATGACCCGACTGAATGAGAGTGATGGGGTGGTAGAGGGGCTGGAGAACTTGGAGAGAACCATGATGAATCCTAGAAGCCAAAGTCAGCTTTGACATTGACAAAGAGGAAAGCATTTCTACCTTCTTTCTTTTTTATTAGATTTGTTTGTGTCTATGAGTGCTCTATTTGTATGTATGCCTGCATGGCAGAAGAGACCATCAGACAGAAGAGGGCACCAGATCCCTTAATAGATAGTTGAGAGTCACCGTTTAGGTGCTGGGAATTGAACCTAGGTCCTCTGGAAGAGCAGCCAGTGCTCTTAACCATTGAGCTATTTTTCCAGCCCCACATTTCTACTTTCTTATCACAGGGAGCAATTAAAAAGCAAACATCACAGACTGGAGCGATGACTCAGAGGTTAAGAGCACTAGCTGCTCTTTCAGAAGTCCTGAGTTCAATTCCCAGCAACCACACTGTGGCTCTTACAGCCATCTGTAATGAAATCCGGTACACTCTTCTGGCATGTAGATCTATATGCAGGTGGAACACTGTATTTATAATAAATAAACAAATAAATAAATCTTTTTTTAAAAGCCCACATCACTTTGTGGTTCTAGATCGCTCTGACACCCCCAGTCTGAGGTCAGAGTCTCCTGAAGCCTCAGAGAACCCAAGCAGTCCAGCGTCTTCCTCATCTAGCCTCACCAGCTCTGTGGAACCTGGGGGGCTGAGCCTAGCCCCACCTAGCCCTAAAGAAGGCCTCCAGGAGCCATCAGGCACCTCCCGACCTAGGCCAGAATCTGGGACCACCCCTATTGAAGTGTATCTCCCAGTCAAGTTCAGGTTGGTAAGGGCTGGCCGTACTACCCAGTGTGCCTCCTGACCTCTCTGGGCATGTGTTGGCTTCTCTACCTGTCTGAAGCCTGGGTCACAGTCTTCTCACTCCAGGACTCAAGTTGTAGCCTGGACCTGGGTGGGGGCTGGCTTACCTTTTCCTCTTCCTACCATCTGCTTTCAAGTCTGGCTGGGAGAGCCAAGGAGGAGCCGGGGGGCTTGGGTTGCTGAAGTTGGTGGGAGGAGAAAAAAGCTTAGCCCCACCTGCATGGATCCTTCTTAAACCCTCATGAAATCTTCACCTGTCAATCCAACTGTCTCTCTTCTCTGTAAACCTTTTTTGTCTAGACTTGAGTTTGGGGAGAAGTGGACTTGGGAGCATCCTCAGAGCCCTCTGGGGAGAGATCAGCCCCAGACTTCCAGGGCCTGTGATGACCCAGCCTAGGAGCCTGGTGGACTCTGGTTCCCCTCTAACACTAACCCAGCTTTGTTTGTCTATCTGGGTCCCGCTGAGGGGCTCTGGGTAGCAGGGTGACATTGGCCATCCCTGCCTTCCAGCTCAGAGAGCACTCGATCTTACAGACGGGGAGGTCGGAGTCTGGAAGACAGTCCCTCTGCCTGGCAGCCTCTGTCTAGAAGGAACATTCCGGTAGGAGCGCTGGGTGTGTGGTTTGAAGTGTAGGTAGCAGAGTTGTAGAACTGGTCAAGAGCAGGCATAGAGGGGAGGGAGACCTCTCTCCATTGTGGTAACACTATGGAAACGGCCACTGTTAAGCCTGGTGCCACCTTCCTGCTCTAGCCCACAACTGTGTGAAGCTGAGTGAAGCCCAGCTAGAGCCATTTCCCAGAGAAGATGCAAAAGGAGCTTTAAATGTGTCAGCTTTGTCCTTCTTTCCCCAGGTCTGCCTCACGGAAGGAGACGGCTCAAAGACCGGGGTTCTCCCGGCAAGTTCTCTGCAACTTTTGCACGACTAGCTCCTTGCTGACCCCTCATGGCCCACACTGGACCCTGACATTCAGAGCTGGGACTTGAGTCCACAGAACTGGGAGCTCACCTTCCCTGGATCATGTCCCTGCCAAGGACACTGGCCCCTCCTTGTTGGGGCTGATGTCCTGGGCCAGGCAGTCCTGAAGTTAGATCTGAGGCTGCCTGGGCTGGGTTCAGTTACACAGCCCTCAATCCTTATCAGACCAGGACTGTTCTCCCTACAAGGGTGGGACCACGCTGGCCATCATTCAGGTCCAGGCACTATCTTATAGACTATTTATCAGTCTAGTATTTTCCTTTAATGAATTCCAGCTTTATGTCCAGACCTCTGCTAGGTACTGTGGATGCCACATGAATGAGGCAAGCATCCCACAGATGTGGCCCCTTGCTGGAAAGCTGGTCTCAAGAACTGACTTGGAATGAACAGAGCCAGACTGCAGAGGATGGCTCTGGGCTCAGGGGTAGGACAGACACCCCTGGTCTCCTGTCTGATCATTACAGTTGTTACAGCCTAGTTATAATGGGTCAAGGCCGGTGCTGCACAGGCTAAAGTACTCTGAATGCCTTCTTTAGAGGGGCAGCCTTGACCTCCCCCCCCCAGAAGTCTGTACTGTGCTCCTCAGCCAGGAAGTAGAACTGGAAGTAGAGTACGACTCACCTGTCTAGCTGCCTCCTTGATTCAGCAGGAAAGAAAGGAATGATGTAGGTTGACTGATCCTACTTCTCTCGTGTTTCTCTTGATCAAACCAGAAGCCTTCCGGTCTAGGGGAAGTGAGGGACCAAGAAAGAAAGGAGGAGTTGGGAAGATAAGAGAAGCTTCAAGAGTCTGCTTTCCAGGGCCAGAAATCCTGCCATTGCTCAGCCACAATTACAAAGCCAATGCTATCAGCAACCATGGACAGCTCTGTTTTATAGCCTCTTGGTGCTAGGTCCTACACGGGTGGACCAAGCCAAATGCGGGAGACCAGAGGGCACCCAATGAATGGCTAGGAGTTGAACTGTTCACCCTGGAGGCTGGGATGGTCCTTGATCCTAAAGAAGCAGGATTGCTTCTGAGCCCCCAGGGTCAGCTTTTGTTCATCTCAGACTTACTCTTTTATTCATCTCCAATAAAGGATTCTTGGGGGAGGGATGGACCCTCCCGGTTCATTTATGGGTTCTATAGAGTAATAGGGAAAAGGACTTTTGGGACTTGGGATTCTTTCCCTGGCCATGGTGAGGGACAGGGCTGGCAAAGAGTAGTGGTCACAGTATGAACAGGGAGTTTTGCTCCAGGAGACATGTGTATGGCTAACATTTCCAACCAGAGGGAGCACCCCGGAGGTCAGGGATGCTGCAGGAGCACCCTCCAGCACAGTGTCTTTTGTCCATTTGTGTTGCTGTCACAGAATGCTGGAGGCTGGGCACTCTCTAAAGCAAAAGGCTTTATTTGGCTTAGGATTCTGGTGATTGCAAAGTCCAAACAGCATGTCATTAACATCCTGTAAAAGGCCCCCTGACTGTCACAACATTGCGGAGAAGTGAAAAGCAAGCACCTATGTGTAGAGATCCGTTTGCTTTGTCATAACTCAGCTGCTCTGAGATTCAAGCTTCAACCCCTTCCAAGGCGGCACCACTGTTACATAATTACCTCCCACTAGGCTCCACCCCTTAAAGGCTCAGTCACCACTCAACATTGCCACATCAGGAATCAAGGCTGTGGCGTGTAAGAAAACACGCTCAAACCACATCCACCTTCATGGTAATGATCACACATACGGCAAAGAATTAGTCAATCCAAAATGTTGTCAGCACTAAGTCTGAGAACCCCTGGTGTGCAGGAAAGCACACTGGACTGGAGTGTGAGGACTTCATGTTTGGACTCTCCCATGGTCCCTTGATTGCCCTGAGATGATGAGTTGGGCCGAGTGGTTTCTGAGGTGACCCCTGGAAGCATCACAGGGGCAGAGAAGTGAAACGGGGCGAGCAAACAATGAAGGGGGGCAAGGAGAAGGTTGTTGAGAATGTGCTTGCCACACAGGCATGTGAATTTGGAGCCCCAGAACTCATGCAAAAAGCCAGGCATGCAGCGCACTCCCATCCCCCTGACTCTGTGGAAGCGGAAGCAAGGGGGTCCCTGGGGCTTGCTGACCAGCTCCAAGTGCAGTGAGAGACCCTGTCTCAACATTAAGATGGCTAGCAACTGAGAAAAGCACCTGTCAATCTCTGGTCACCACATGCACCCATACACATACACACAAAAGCATAAAGGACGCCGGCACAGTGGCACCCATCTGTGATTCCAGCATTCTGGAGCCCAGGCAGGAGCACAGCGAGTTAGTAAATACATGCAATCTGTCTCCTTTGAGAGTAAAGGATGGGGTGTTTACCACCAATGCTGGGTCCTTTTGGGGTATCAGTTCCCTGCCTGAGCCCAAAGCTCACAGGGAGGTATGGCAAGTGGCAGCTGTGTGCCATGACTGTGTGCAGGTGACCTCTCAGGTGGGCACAGGGGGTATAATGGTGCTGGCCACATTCTGGGAGAGTATCAATGCTGGGTCCACCTCCTGAGATCATTTGCATGATAGGTTGGACATGTTTTCTTGGGGTTCTTCATACTAAGGCCAACAGGCTACCCAAAAGCCCCAACCAAGAAAAAACCGCCTTTGGCAACTAGGTGCTAAGCCCCCCGCCCCCACCCTGCCCCTTTTCCCCACCTGCTTTCTGTGCTGCAGCCACTGACTTTTCAGTTCCTCCATTGCCAACATGCCAGTGACCCTCCCTTCCCTAAGCTTGTACACTGAGTTCTCCAGGAGGGCTTATTGCTCCCTTCTGGATGCTAGAACTACCTGGAACATGGAAGGTGCTCAGTGACTAGAATAAACACGCACCGCCTCCTGGATTACACAGATCCCCTCCAAACTCCCGCCCTTTGCTGCAATGCATTTCACTTGAGAGGGGATGACACCCAGCAGGACCTTTCAAGTGTCCTCTTCCGCTCTTGCTCCACCCCAGCTGTGATGAATACAGTCCTCTTTAATGGTTCTTTTGCCCAGCCTGTTGCTGTGAGGTCTTTTCTTGCTAGCTGATCGGAAGCAGCCTTTGTTGAAGGGAAAAAATTCTTGACCGCCATCACACAGCAGCGGTTGGGAGACAGATGTTCACAACAGCCTACCTCTGGCCCAGAACCGGTTCTCTGAGGATATCTCAAAAAGTTGAGGGATTTTTTTGTTCCCCAACCCCTACCCCCCCGCCCCTTCTGCCCTCCATCCGGGAAGGTCGTTTTCTGTCAGGAGGGGAACAAGGTCTGCAGAAGATTCTTGTAAGATCCTTCCACCCGAGAGCAGATGTGTGCACAGCTGAGAGTGGGAAGCAGTTACTCCTTCCACCCCAAATTACTCTTCTAAGCCCACCCCTTGCACACTGCCCTAAGAGTCATCCAAAGCTTAGCCTCTCAGAGCACGGCTGCACCCCAGTACTTGAGAGTTTGTTAGAAACACAATAAAGTGGACTGCGGATGAGGACTCTGAGCCCACCTCCCGAGAGAGCTGGAGATGCATGCCCACCACAGGCCTTGGGCACACGAGCCTAAGTTAGGGCAGAGCTGACTTCAGGGTCTGCACCGAGAGGCGACGAATGCACCAACTTTTCTCGGCTGGGGCCCAGGCACGGAGCTAAGTCCTCCCTCTGAGAGCTCAACGACGCTAAGACCCGACCGCTCAGAACTCGCCGCAGCTGCATTGACACCCCAGGCGAACCCTCATGCCCAAAAGTCCCTGCAGCACTCCTAAGAGGGTCGGTGGGGAAGAACCCCTTCTCCCAACCTGGTCCTTCCCCCAAATGTGCCAC